TTTCCCTCGGAGATCCAGCTGCTGCTGCTTCTTCTTCTTCCTCAGCATCAATGTCCTGAACCGTCTCTTCACAGTCATGCACACGTTGCAGCAGCAGGTGGGCTTGTGCTTTCCTTTCCCGCTCGGCGGCTGAATGCAAACTATACAACTGCACCCTTCCCTGTGCCTTGGATGTCTTGTCGTTGTCGCAACTGCAACTGCAACTGCCGCTCCTCGGCTGCCGTCCCCTATGCTGTCTCCTAAGGCCGCCGCACTTGCAAGTGCTTCCAACCCTGACGCTTCCTCCTTCCTCCCTTCTCTCTGCTTTTCCCCGCTTCTCTGCTTCTTGGTCTCTGCCACACATTGTACATGCAAGTTACAAATATTGTTGCTTCTTAAAAAAAAAAAAAACTGGAGAAGTTGAGGATATGCACTAAGGGATTCCACTTAGTGCAAAGGAAGAAAATTAATTGGCACCGAGAATAGTTGCCAAGGTCCTGGTCCAGACGGTCCCTTCCCTTCCCTTCCCTAAAACGGGCCTTTGCTTGGCTTTAATTCTAAACTGATAACAACTCAATACAGACTAGGACTGAACCAATTGCTACAAGCTCGTTGACAAGCGATCGACCAATCACAAACTCGATTGATGAGATGTCATGAACCCAGTGTCATTATACAGGAAGCAGTCCTGACCAACACAACAAGCTAAAAGCCCAAAGGACAGTAACAAGGTGGAGCTAAGTGTTGGGTGGTTCATACCTCTTCCTACTCCGAGAAAACTCTCCAGTTCCTTCAGATTCTTCTCTGGCACAGAACATGAACACCTGTCGACATATCTCACCATGAGTTCAGAGTGCAAAAAAATCAAATTCCACAGTGGTCCAATTCAAGGTGAAACTCAAAAGGCTCTTCACCTGTCCAGGTCCCAAACATTGTCTGAGCATGTCCACCTTGAAGGAAGGAGGGCATCTAATGGTAACCTTCTCCATTTAGAGCAATCGTCACACTGTGCCCATTGTTCTTGTCCACTGCAGCAAAAAGATGCTCATTTGTACAGTGCAAGCAAACTAGTGATGGAAGATGATAATATGCAAATACGGAAATATATCATAGCAGACGATACACTGTCATCAATTTCTTCTTCGAGGAGGAAAAGAACATCTTACCCAGAAGGCCGTGAAGTGAATACAGTCTTCTTTCCAAACACAGGGGGTTCCTGAATCACATGGAAAATAATAGCTATCACCAAGATGGTAACACTCCAGTGTACAGTACTTGAAACTCGTTGTTGAGAAGATGTCAAGAAGATATATCATTTACATCATATTCTTCAAATTCGTTATCCTCAATGGTGACAATGGTAGGTTTTGCACTGGGAGAGGGACGAAGCAAATCTTGAGCTTCTTCCCATGTGAGTCTCAGCTCCATAGATTCTTCATTATGCAAAAGCAGTCTCTTGTTTTTTGTCCCAATGTTTCGAGTCCTCTTTTTCTCTTTGATCTGTGGCGAACCATCGCCGGTTCTGACTCCATTATTCTTGTTTTTCTGCAAGCTAATCTCACCATCGGGTGAACTCAAATGTTCAGGAAGACCCTTCATTTCTTTTGGCATTTGTAAGGGACCTGCAGGATCATTTATGGAGGACGGATTCTCTGTAACACCAGATGATGAGGTATCCTCAGCTGAAGTGCCATTTGTGAGACCAGAACCCTGTTTACAACTCCTTATAAGAATGGGAATCAAGAAGAACTGCTAATAAATGCATGCAAAAACTAAAGGGGTGAAACATAGAGCTCAACCTGTTGCTCCCCTCCACAGGCTGTCTTTCTGAAACCCAGAACAAGTTTACCGCCAGGATCTATCCGACTGAAGGTTACTGTAACAAAAAAGATAAAGGTGGAGAGGGAGCCACTAGATTTTAGATACACATTCTTCTTAGAATGCAGGAAACCAGTAAAGTTCTCGGAAAATTAAGGAAGATTTAGTTACTCAGGGAGATGGTAAATACCAAAACAACTATGATATTTTAAGACAAATTTGTCATGGTTACTAAGAAGATAATTGAAGCTTTAGTTAAACATAAGCAAGATTAAGACGGATGCTAAGCCCTACCAGTATCACCAGCCTGTAGTTGCATGGACTGTATGCAGGGGGTAACGCCTTCTAAGACATACATCCTACTATTGTTATTGGGCCAAAACCTGAACTGGAACGTCCATTCTTTACCCTTCACATCTTGAATTTTCAAAGGAATGCCTTCTGATTGGTGGATGGAAGGGAAATACGCCTATGTAACATTCCAATTTCCACAATGGCATACCTCTCAGATTGAACTTATGAAGGGGAAAAAAAGTAAAAAGGACATAAGTATGAACATACAAAATATTACCTCCGCACATGCTTTTGGAAGAACTAGACGACCAATGCGACCAGCATCACTGGCACTGAGAGTCTTCTCGAAGAGGGGAACAATTTTTGAATTCAAGCTAACATTGTTAAGATAAACATGGACTTACACAAAACACAAGTGGCCTTTAGAATAATCTGCTTATTAAATTCACAAAAAAAATGGCAAATCAATTCGAGTAGAGGAAAGAAGGCAAGAAAGGATACTTCCCAGATATCTGCTGAAGCTCCTGATCAGTAATTCTTGGCCAATAACGAGGAAGCAAGTGGTTTCTCCCACGCCCTTCAACAGGTGGCCTTGCACTCCGCAATGGACAAGAAGCCGCTTTGCTAGTTCCAGGAGTTGAAACAGCAGATTTTGAGGGTTTTGGCAACACAGAGCAAGAGCTCTGCACTGTTGGAGATCGAGTAACATTGCTCTGTTTCTTTCCCTCAACAACCCCACTAGGAAAAGGAGGGCCAGAGGGAGTTACTGCCAAAGACATACTCAAAGATGGCTGCGAAAGTGATTCCTGCATATCCCTGGTCTCCATCACAGACTTAGTACTCTCTGGTTTAAAAAGTTTACCGAGTTCAGGTTGAGGCATGAACTCTTCTCTTTTGTCTCCACCAAGGAGCGTTTTAGGATCACCTCTTTGAGACTGAGGAAAGCGGTCAGGTTCATTAGCCTCCACAACCTGGCACAACTGTGATAGTCTTCCACTGTCAATGTTATTACCAAGAATTCCACTTTCTCCATTGGGGGGTTGCCTCTCAGCTAGCATCATAGTTAATCTGCCAAGTAAATCCTGGCTTTCACTTCTCTTATTCTGCGAAGCAAAAGAAGCAACTCCCTGAATAAGCTCTTAAATAACGGCATCATTGACACACATGAAGAAAATGCAAAGTACGTAATGAGTTTGCGAATACGAGAAAAACCTGACTAGTTTACACAGCACACCGAACCAAGTCTACTCACCAAGCTGCTACTGTAACAGCTAGAGCAGTTAGTACAACCAACGCCCCCAAAGTCCAGGAGCTCGACCATGAGCTTGGAAGCGATGCATCCACAGTGAAGACGCTGTCTCCGCAAAAACAAAAACGCAATCAGACCAACATTGCGAGAAAATGGAAGGCAATGGGATCAAAGAGTGAGGGAAAGTTTAAAAAATGTACCTTGTGACACAAAAAGCATTCCCTCCAACCAGATTGTTCCTTATGGAATGTATCGCAGAAGAGTGAACTCTCGTAGGCGGATCTAAAGACAAATCATTTCGATCAACAATCAACATCACTAACTTCTATTTTTCCTTTTATAGCTTTGCCAATTTCACGTGATAAACGTATATCATTTATTCATCGTCTTCAGTGTGTCTACACACACACGCACGCACGCAAAGAATCATGATTGGTGAACGAACAGGGGCTCAGAACTCAGCTCTTTCGACACACCCAAACACAACATGGATCGAATTAAGACGAAGAACAGAATCAATGAGTCTCTCACAGATCGAGACCTCAAGTTAAAACTCAAAATAAGCACAGAAACAAAAAAAAGAAAAGAGCAAACCAATATCCGGTTTTTTCGATGAATTCAACGGCCCAATCGGGAGGAGCGAGAAATTAAAGAGGGGGAGAGAAATACCCGCAACGAAAGCAGAGATCAGCGACGCCACCGGCACGGAGAGGCCAGCCTTTCTTCCACTCGACGGTGTTGGTCGTCGCACAGGACGCGTTCATGCAAATCTTTTGACCCATATTTGACTTGGGCCAGCGCGAAATCAGCAAGCTCGACTGCACAGAAGCAGAAAACCCCATTAATGAAATCGCAATCAGAGCCAAAACCCTAAAGCCCCTTGAGGCAAGAAGCCGGATCGGAGGAGAAATCGACGTCAATTGGAACAGAGCCCACTCATGAACATGCACATACGTGATCAAATCAGAGCTGGGCGGAATCAAGGGACCGAAATCTGAAGTATAACAGCCAGTTGGGCGCTAAAAAAGTAGAGATTTGGGAGGCAGGCAAAGGATTAAAGAGGACGGCTGTCGAAGAGGAGGGGATACGTAAGGAGAAAAGAAGAAGAAGAAGAAGAAGAAGGCTGCGAGGTTTGGTGATGGGATTTATTTCCGATGTGTAGTTGCAAGTAAAATATGAGAGAGAGAGAGAGAGAGAGAGAGAGAGAGAGAGCATGCAAAGGAGAAGGGACGCATAAAATGCATGCACGACACTTGAAGACACGCCGCTTTAACCCCAAAAAACAAAAAACACAGAAGAAGACTTCAGTTTTTTTTCCCTCAAATCATATCGTAACGTACCCTATTCGAGGAATCTTTTTTAACTGATGTTTTTTTCCACACGACCCCGTACTTACGCCCTCATTGACTGCCGTAGACTTACTGCTTTACTTTTTTTTACCGTTCAGGCAGACCACTTAGTCAGGGCCACTTCCCTTTTCCTCATTTGTTTTTTTTTTCACTTCTCTATCTACAAACCCAAGATGCAAAGTTTCCATATACGTCAATCATTTTGTATCTATGATTTTCTTAGAAAATTTTTCGAATTTAGCACCAGCAGTAGATAACGAACGCATAACAATCTATGTGGAATAGATTCTCTAGCCTATAAGATCCTAAATTTATGATCTAATACTCACATTGGAATATTTGGTGTCCATCCTTTTTTTTCTTGTCCTCGTGTGAATTATCTTCTTCTTCACATGATACGGAGTTGTCCTGTACCGTATGAGGTGGGCTAAAGCAATCCTGGGTACAAAAAGACATGCCTGCACATGGGAAATTTCACCCGCATTTATCTCCGGAGGCTGAGAAATTCAAGGCTGTATAATGTTCACATGTTGTTATAACACCTATATATATGTATGTATATGATATATGAATATAGTTAAGGAGGGTGAAAATGTCAAAGATGCATTTGACGGATTAATTAGTGAATAATGAATGATGCATTAAGGAAGGGAACTGCAATAATAATGCATGGAACCTAGCTGTGTGATTGGGGCTCACGTTTCCAACTTTCAACAAACATGTTTCTCGTTATAATAATAATTATTATTATAATATGACTTTACCAAGGAAAAATACCTCTTTTCTCTTCTCGGCAAAATTCTCACCCTCTCTGTATTTTTGGCAACTCACTCACTTTTGGTGCCTCCACATCATTCAAACAATGCCCACTATCGTTGATTTCTGTGACCTTAATTGTGCACAATCTCTAAAATATCGATATTACCAAAAAAAACTAAGTTTAATTAATTGTTATTAAATTTAAAAAAAAAACAGATTTAAGATGCCCTCTGATAAACGCTTTAGTGGATGACGGCAAGGAACGAGCAAGCTTACCTTACTATTTCCAAGTGTCCTCTGTAGCAAAATGCCCGCAAAGAACACAAACAAGTTGAAGGGTGTCCGTTACAAATTTGTTGAAAGGTTGCCCCCACTTGTCTTCCTTGCTGTTTTGCTCTTTCTTCTGTTCCTGTACCGCAAATAAATGCCTTCCTTCTGAGTTTCGCCTTCCCACCCACCACCTAACAAGTAACAACAACAAATTGAAAGGAAAACACAAAAAAAAATCACGTTTTTTTTTGTTCGAAGATTTACCTCTCTGTGTTTCCTTGGTGGAGAGCTTCGGCTTCCTCTTTCTCGTAGCTACAACTTGCATCTAGCGGACGGTTTATAAATCTAGGTGTGTCACGACACAAGATTCAATTTTGGATTCATGATATGTAGAAGATAACTCTAAGAATGATAGTCAGAGAGTGAGCAAGAACGTTCACCGTACAACATTTCTCTGCTCTTGAGTTGCTAGGATTCGCCTTAGGGCTTTATCATGTGCCTCGCTTCTTCCTTTCTCGGAGCTAATGGTGCTGGTTCTTCTTTTGATCTCTCCTGCTGGTTTAAGTTTACAGTTGACTGCTATGTCGTTTACGTCTTCGTGCTCATTGTTTTCAGGGTCTCCATTTTGTGTTAGCCGCACCTCCCTAGCAGAACCAACAATGCAAGATGAAAGCCGATGCTGACCACCAAGTTCAAGGTCTGGAAATGCGTGAGGATTTGATATCTGTGACAAGGATTGGATCATGAAATCTCAAGTGAGAGGTTTCAGAAAAATGACGTGGGTTGCACGTTGGAGGAGTCATAATAGAGGTTTCAGAAAAATGTGAGAAATCGTAACCAAAGTTTTGTGAAATTCTTTCTGCATACCAATTGCTGGATGTTTCTAGACCTCTGCGGAAGGAGGGAGTGTACCTATGGCTGGTGGATTTCAACTTTTCTTGGTTTGAGGGTCTCACATATTCTTGCAACCCGCCTTTTCGTTTGAAGTATTCACCTCCATCCCCATCTTCCCGCGATGCTTGGGAGTAGAAGAAATTATTCAGATAATTTTTGTCTCCAAGGTTATGAAATGAAACTAGATCTCTTCTTCTCCATCTTGTATTGATCTTCAATTGCGAAATGGTGGTTTCATCGACTCAATCTGACAAGATTTAGGGTGAAAGTGACCTTATATTCCTGGGAAGAAACAGATGGTTGTAGGATCAATGACTTGTGCTTCACAAGATCTTGTCATAACAGCAACACCTGTGCTAGACGAGCGTGAATGTTTCAAGTCGCAGTTCAATCTATTATATACACTAAAGTAAGCAACATGAGAAAGAAAAATCTTGTAGATGCATACCTATGCAAGCCCAGACTGTCCTTGTCTTCCTCAGCTCCAAAGGATGAACAAACGACGGCGGGTCAAATACATTTCCAAAAAACAAACTTCTCCATGGAATTGAAATGTCTGGATCTCATTTAATCAAAGTTCATTTCCACAAACTTCTTCAAACTGATGTTTAGAACGCTGATAAGTTTGAATACAGCTTCACGCAATGGTAGGAAATTCGACTTACAATGTCCTACTCGAACTTGGGTATTCAGTATTCCTTTCTGGTGTACGACGTCTTTGAACTGGTGAATCTGACCACACAAGGAAAACCAAGGAAAATCCAGATGAAACTGGCAACAGGTGTAGTCCAACAAAGATTGTAGATTACGTTCTTCTCCAACTCATAAAAAAAAAACTATTGTGGCAGTGGCAGTTCATTTTCTTTTTTGCCTCAATATGAATTACAGTAGAAGTCCTCAATCCTAATGTAATTGCACTAATAATAGAAACGTGAAAAGTCAATCACAGTCTGCCACTCTGCAACATTCTTAGCTTATGAGAGAGCTGCAAATTCAAATTACGAGCAACCTGACACGGGCGCAACACTTGGGAATTTTCCATTAGAATAAAACAGCAAGCCATCCAACAGAATTTGAATTTAAACTGTAAACTCTATGGAATGAAACTAGGGAATTTTCAAGTAAAACTAACCACAGGCTTTGGATCTCAGGAAGCAAAAACGGGAATTATCGTGAGCAGACGATCAGCGCAGAAGCGAACACTTACGGCAAACTCGGCATCAAATGGATCAGAAATCATGCTCGGAAAATCCACGAATATTTCTACCTTGGGGATTCGTTGCGCAACCCGATTTTTGGAGAAGAGGAGCAGTTTACGAACACTGAGAACTGCTACAATGGAACGACGAAGGCGATGAAGAAGGAGATTGAAACCGAAATTGAGAGGCGATAGATCGAATTTGCAGCAGTGGAAGCGAAGGTGAGATCAAAGACGATGCATTGAGCGGCCTCCTCATTATTTTCTGATTTTCGAATAAGTTCGTTGTGCGCTTTTCGGGCACTGTGTTTCCCGCGGCACGATTTATGCATTTCGATCACCACCACTATTATTGGGCCTATTCACAAGGTCTAGGCCCAATAAGACCCATTTAAATCAGTTAACCTTGATGGCCCATATAAGCCCATTTTTTCACACGACTATATATATACACACATACACGTCCCTTTTTCAATAATGCATTGCCTTTTGACTTTGACGAAATGCTCCATTCTATGTTCGAAGACGGCGTACTTTTCCCGGCACCGCACAATAGACCAAAAGACCAATAATATTACACGACATAAGCAATGACGTCATCCTCCAGATACATACCCATGAAAACACGATCATAACAACAAGAGCCTAACCATAACAAAAAAGAAAGAGACGGTTAGATTTCTTTCAAGAATGGATCAGGAGGAGAAAATAGTGGTGTTGGACCATTGGCCGAGCACGTTCGGGGTGAGAGTCCACATGGCCTTAGCCGAAAAGGGCTTGACCGAGTACGAGACCAAAGACGAGGACCTGTTCGAAAAGAGCAGCCTGCTTCTTGAGATGAACCCTGTCCACAAGAAAGTCCCCGTCTTCGTCCACAACGGCGTACCCATCTGCGAGTCTCTCGTCATTCTTCAGTACATCGACGAGGTTTGGAGCCACGCTCCTTCTCTGCTGCCTTCCGATCCTTACGAGCGTTCTCGGGCAAGGTTTTGGGCCGATTTCGTCGACAAAAAGGTATGTTATATGACAAAGCATTCGTATAATTGTCCGATTAGGGTTTTTGTTTCTACTGTGCTGTCTTCTTCTCCTTGTTGTTGTTGGACTCTTATAGTCTTTGGGATATAACATCAACACATAATTGTGATGAGAGATAGATATGGCCCATGTCAACAAATGGGTCTCTGAATATTTTCATATATATATATATATATGTGTGTGTACATGTGTATTGTGGATTCTATGAATTTTAAATGGTTTGGCAAATACGCACAGATACACACGAGTGCAGCGAAGATATGGATGTGCAAAGGGGAGGAGCTGGAACAAGGGAAGAAAGAGCACGTAGAGAACTGGAAGATACTGGAGAGAGAGTTGGGAGAGAAGGAGTATTTCGGAGGAGAGAGATTAGGGTTCGTGGACATAGCTCTGCTCCCGTACACGAGCTGGTTCTACTTGCAGCTCATTATGGGAAACATCGACATGAACTCTGAGTGTCCGAAGATTGCGGCTTGGGTGCAACGTTGCAAGCTCAAGGACAGCGTGGCCAGGAACCTGTCTGATCCTGTCAAGGTCTACGACTACATGCTCCTGATCAAGAAACGATACGGCCTCGACTGATTAAAAAAAAAAAAGAAAAATAGAGGAGATGAGATGTTTTTTTGGTGTTGTGGGTTCATATCGTGATCATGCTATCACATATATATATATATTTAAATGACGTTACAGACGAAGGTGTTGTTTCTGGACAGTTAAAACTCATTTACAATTTGGATTTTATCCTTCAAATTAAACTTAATATTACTTGCATATATATGGAGCTTTTACATGGCCTCCCTGTATTTTACAAAAAAAAAAAAAAGAAGGCCGGGGATAACAGTTCATATTCAGGCATTGGATTGAGAGGCAGGCAACCACCAGACATTCACTGAATTGCAATCTATCATCTGAATGTCAGAAGAGCATGGCACATCCATTGAGTTAGGTGGGAAACCCAAAACGATGCCGTATACCACACTTCTCTCCTGAACCAAAAATGTACAACATCAAATCAAAGTCCCGCCACCACCACCCAAAAATCAAAACGTGTAGGCATTGGATGCCACTATATTATCGCACTTCATAGATTGTGTTTTTTTTATACAACCGAAGGTTGTGTGCGTTTTTTCGGTTGGTGAAAATTATATATAAAAAAAACATTCCAAAAGGCTTACAGAGCATTGTCGTATAGTAAATATTACAAATGGTGAAATCAATCAAGAGGATATGGGTTTCATGACAATGGTGGAGTGGTTGAGGATATGCAAGCTGAACTGTCCACCTTTCTCAGTTGTATCAACCTGAGATTTCCCAGGCGGAGGAAGAAGCTCGAAGTTCTGAACAAGCCTTCCAATGGTGATTCCCAATATGGGCAGCGCCAATATGATCCCCGGACAGCTTCTTCTCCCCACCCCGAACGGTATGTACCTGAAGTCGTTCCCGTTCGCTTCCACCTGCGACTCTTCCTCCAGGAACCTCTCCGGCCTGAACTCGTCCGGTTTCTTCCAGTTGTTGGGGTTGTTGGCCAGGTACCATGCGTTGACTAGGATCTTGCTCTCGGCCGGAATGTCGTAGCCTCCGAGCTTTGCGTCGTGGAGGTTCATGTGTGGCACGAGCAGAGGGATCGCCATCCTGTATCTTAGAGTCTCCTTGATCACGGCCTGGAGGTACGGGAGCTTGGGGATGTCTGGCTCCGTGACCTGAACTCCAGGTCCTAGGACAGTGTCCAGCTCGTTCCTCAGCCTCCTCTGGATCTCCTGATGGTTCACTAACTCCGCGATCCCCCACTCGATTGACCACAACGTTGTCTCGATCGCTGTTCCCGCAGAACCAGTAGGCAAATATCACATAACTAATATCATCAATGCCCAGATCGATGTTTCCATATCTGGGGTTTACCATATACATAATAATTCCACTCGGGTTCTATTCAAGATTGGTTTTTTGGAAAGCTCCATATCTTAGCTATAAATACATAAAAAGCCAATAACAGGGGCCATAATGATTTCCCGAATCTATACTTTGCTATATCAGGCAATTCCTATGAACTACGACTGCTAAGCAGATGGTATCAACAACTCCCAAGTTTAGTCTGTACACCACCTAACGCTTCGAAGATTCGTACGGGAACAAGGCGTGTGGGGAACAAGATCATGTGTATTACAAGGGACAAAGAGACTAGACAAGGCTTAGAGACGAGGAAGGGCGAGAAAAGTTACCGGCCACATTGATGTTCTCGACGATGTAGAGAACGTTGTCCTCGTTGATCTCTCCCTTCTGCTGGGCGTCCAAGATGTGATCAATCGCGCATTTCAATCCTTCGTTGCTCGTAGCCTTGGTGCTCGCGATTTGCCTGATTAAATTTACGAGTGAATCCAAAATCCCACACCGCCGTTAACGAATTTAATCGGAGGAAAAAAAAATCGGGAAGAGATAACTCACTTCCTCTCATCAACGAAATGCTTCTTGAACAATTGTAGCCTCCGCTCCTTCACCTCCTTGCAGATCTTCAGATACCCTCTGAGGAACGGCCTGAGGATGGGGATGAAATCTCCATAGTTGTACTCGAAGCTCTGAGCCAAACGGCTCCTCTCTCCGTTCAAGGCCTTGAGCTGAACGAACAACGGATCGTCCTCGCTCTCAAACCTTCTGTCGAACATAATCCGATACATATTGTTGTACATCATCAACTGCAATCTCTTCCTCAACACGACTCCTTTCGTGGCAGCATCAGGGTTCTTCTTCATGTCCTCGACCACACACGCCGCCTCGTACTCCCAACCCTCCCGATTCTGCTGCACAACCTTGTTCGTGAAGAAGGGCACCGTCATGATCCGCCGCATCTTCCGCCAGTGCTCGCCGTAGACGGTGAACACCATGTCCTGTCCCTTCCCGGTGAAGATATCGAAGACGACGTTCCTCGTCCTAGATCCGAACTCCACACCCTGCGTGTGGAGCACCTCTTTCGCCAGATCAGGCGACGAGACGACGACGAGGTTCCTCTGGCCCATACGGAGGAGGAGGATATCGCCGAATTTTCGAGCTAGATCGGTGAGATTGCGGTGGTTGAGATCATCTCCGACTTGGAGCCAGTTTCCGAACACCGGAACCGGCAACGGACCCGGAGGAAGCTTCAATTTCTTCCCTCGGAGCTTGGAAATGACGATCGCGAGGACCACGGCGAAGAAAACGGCGATGAGACTCTTCTCCAACAAGAGAAGGTCCATTTTCCGACAACCTTTCCGGCGAGAGAGCTCTAATGGAGGGTTCAAAGATCGAAGAAGCAGTTACAGCTGCTGAAAGGGGTGTGGTGGGAGAGACGAATTTATAAGAGAAGAAAACGGAAGGGGTTGTTGGGGGGCTTGTGGTAACGGCGTGAGTGGACGATTGATCTTCTGACGCCGTTATATTTGACGGAGTAACTGAGGGGGTAGGTAAGGCTAATGGGTTGGTGCGTTAGCTTTATGTTGTAGTCAAACTATATAATATATGAATCATATATAACCTCTAGCCAGTAAATTTATAATTAAGTTTATTATTATATTAGAAGGATGACAGAAAAAATAGTATATCATTTTTGTAGTCGATAAATATATCATGTCATTTTTAAAAGATTGTAAAATTGAAAGTATTTTAAATCATATTTCCACCGAAATTATATATTTTACATCTTTTAGAGATTTCTATGATCTGTATTCTATAAAATCTATAAATAAGATATAATCAATGACGGAGAGATTGGTCAGATGGCTCTAAAGCCATGAAAACTGTCGGACCATAAAAACACCTGTGCAGCCTTCACCTCAAATGCCACCAAAATATAGATTTTTTATTTTTATTTATTTTATTTTATTTTATTTTATGATTTTCATCTATCGTCTCTGATTTTTATTTTTGTAATTAATTTATATTGTTATCAAATTAATTTTATATTTTATACCATGTATATAATATGAATGAAAGCACAACGCAGTTGAAGTTTTTAAAGACTCTTTTTTGGTGTTTTAATATATTCAGAAAATGTAAAACGTTTAACAAAATAATATCTACTTAATCTTTTGCTTTTTGCAAATTATCTTCTTTAATTTTTTTCCCCAATCTTCATTTATCTAATAAACCGGCAAAGTAACATGATTTACAATTTATTTACAGTATCGATACGTATTAAAGTTTATCGTTTTCTTGTGCATTTAACTAATTATCCCTATAAAGGATACTTATAAAATGTAAAATAAGATTATGGCATGTAGCAAATAAGATATAATACATATATATATTAAATTAAAAATGAAAATTTAATTTATATATATGGTCCGTAACGCTAAACTAACAGACGGTTCGAGACAAATATTTATCGCGTAATTAATAATGACAACTTTCCCTTGCGTCTTTGTCCACAATGTCTGGAAACGACTTTGAGTGAATTATCTCCAAATCTCATGGCCAAGGACGCGACAAATATACTTATATACATATACATATATACACATATATATATATATATAAAGAAATAAAAGAAAAGATAATCACGGTTTTTCATTGCGATGTTTGTAATGTCAAGCTTCCTTGGTGTGTTACAAGTCTTATAGTTAGTTTAAATACTCTGTATTTATATATATACATATATATTGACGGATCCACAAATATTTATAAGAGGGACAGTCATATTAATATGTATATAAATATAAAAAATTAGTGAAAGTATATAATTATAGAAAAATTTATATAAGGATAAATTTAAATTTTAGTGGAGTATTTGTAAATTTTATTTTACAAGTCTTTGTGCATTAATTCAATCATTTTGTAATAAATACAAAACATCACGTGTAAACATCAATGCGTTTAGTTTAATCAAGACAAAAAAATGTTTTTTTTTTATAACAATCGACCCGTTCTATAATTTATATTTATACGCATGTGTCGTATTGCACGTCTCGTAATTACTAATAAAAAAAAGGACAAAAAAGGTACATCGGGGGGGTAGGTAACGCCGTCAGAGATTAACGCCGTTAACCAGGCATTGCAAGGCAAGGCACGGCTTTGGCGCATGCGCATATCCACGAGTCACCTTGTGTTTCTACAATTTGGCGAAATAGCTCTGACTTTATTCAATTTTTATTTTTTTTTTGCAGCGGTCGATTTATTTATTTATTTTTCTTATTTATGAGAAGTAAAATGAAATATATAAAAAATAGTGATGGTAATGAAAAGAGTTACAGCTACCTACCACCACCGTTCGACAGCGATATGAAGAAATGGAACCACCTACCTCCCACCAAATCCCATCCACCGTCTTCAAATACAAATAAAAACTCGCAAATTGCAACCATTCCACGTCTCCTTGACCACGTTTGTCCACGTCACCCGCCCTTCCCTTCACACCTCCGACACGTGTCATCCACCGTACCACTAGTGCGTAGGGATGATCTCACCAATTCGAATCCCGACTCGATCCGACTAATAGGAAAAATGTTTTATCGCAAACATTACATATATAATATTCTAGGTATAATATATAAATTAAATCATGATAATATTCTATGATTCATATATGTATTTCAAGATAAATCAACTACGATGAATTCAATCTTGTTAAATAAAAATTAAAAATTAAAATTGCATTCGTATCTTTCACGTGATGTTGAGGTTTGGATTTGAGAATCGCTATTGTACGCTTGATAATGTTTGAAGAACTTGTACTTTCAGAGGTTGATGTGACACAAAAGTGTATCGCGTATACGTGAATTGGATTACGTGATGACAATGAGATCGGTAGTGCAAAAAATTGCGATGTGTATAGCGGTTAGGCCGGAGAAAAAAAAATAAAGACGCAAAAAACGTGATACATAATGCGCGATAGTTTAGTAGCGAGTCAGCTGAAGAAAAAAAAAAGTGACAAATACGTAGATCGACGAAAGGGACTAAAAACTAAATTTAAAGACCTCACAACAGTTAGAATTGACGTGGAACGTTGTTGAAAAAAAAATAATATATTGGTTAGAATTGAGAGTGATGACCGACCGTTGTTGGGAGAAAAAAAAAAGCAAGATATATGTAAGACGATTGCATGGTTCTTGCCACCCGATTTATATCCGTCTCTCAACACTGTCACTAAAATTTATGTGGTTCAAAACTTCAAATGCAACGTTCTTGCCACCAGATTTCTCCCATGACCAAACTCAGAGCAGAAACAGAGATCACCGTTTCAACCCATTTATAAGAAACCAGTTAAAACCCATTTCTACCGGTCTAAAACCAATCTTGTTTAAAGCTTAAGTTACGGAAGAATGATGCCCACAATCTTGTAAATATCAACAAAAGCATTTTAGGGTCATTACCAGATCACCTTACTGACACAAGTACAAGATCATGGAAGATACAATCCTGTACGAATCTTTCTGTGTTTAGATTTGTTTCTTGGTCCTGTCTAGAATCCCAGAAACATGATAGCATTCCATGAAATTCTCAACAATAACAGAAGTGGTACAGATCACACACATCATGCAAATAGCAAACCCCATTATATTCACAGATCCTCCCATCATTCATAATCATCACCATTGTAGTAGTAGCATATATCAAATTTCTCACGACTTCTCCAGGAAGGGTTAAAAAGCTGTTTTCAAACCTTCAACCCATTGCATACTTCTGGGTCCAGCTCCGAGCAGTGGCCTCATACTTTGCTCTGTCAGTCTTGTACATGTGAGCAATCTCGGGCACGAGAGGGTCATCCGGGTTTGGATCTGTCAGTAACGAGCATATCGACAGAAGAACCTGCAAAAACCGCCTTTCGATTTATCACCACTGATACATTTAGACGAACAAGACGATTCCACTAAGCTAAAAAATACCAACCTTGGATATGGTTAGAGCAGGACTCCACTGTTCTTTGAGAATATCCAGACATATGCTCCCATTGCTATTAATATTCGGGTGGAACACCTTTGTCCTGAATGCAACCTGAGAGCAGTCCAGACCAAAAGAAATTCTAAGAGACTTGAAATTCAAAGGAAGAAACAATTACAAATGACTCATTCAACTATTTTCAGTTTTCTTGATAACACAAGATCTCTTTATGTGAAACCATATTGAGATCAGACCAAGAAACCCTGAGACTTTTACTGTTACACATTTAGCAAACTTGGAGAATGTAAGAAAGCAACTCATTGATGACAAATCCAGACAACAGCAACGACAATCTGAACAATCATGTGAGAGCACAAGCAGAATCTGCATCCAGCCTAGAACCAAGTGTTCATATAATGTCAACATTCCAACATGAAGTATCCACAAATTACAAATTTTATTTTGTGCCAACAGCCTTATAAACCATCAACCCTTTGATTTTGCATATTCCATAGTTAAGAAATGGCTACATAAGTACCCCAAGTCTCTCACAAATGGCAGTATAGAAGTACCTTAGGCGGCTTGAAGGGGTAATCAGGAGGGAAATGGATGGAGACTAAAAAGACACCACCGGCATAAGGGCTATCAGAAGGACCCATGAGTGTCGCCTGCCAATGAAACATGTCTTCTGCAACCGGACCTATAACACAATCACAGCATTACAGAACCCTCTGTCGGAAATTTAGGCAGTAAGCATGTACAAGGAACCTCCAATGTCCATGCCAAGAATCTGATAAAACCATCAAGTAAGAAACTCAGAGCATTTTCTGAACCATAACATCCCTGCTTTGCGTTTTTCCCCTAAAAATCTGAAGAAATTACCTACAGAAGAACTTCTATGACAAAACCCAAAGAAATTTACGCGCTTTGACACAAAACCCATTGACGAAAAAGAAAGAAACGGTATGAGACGAAGATTTCACGAACCATATAGAAAGGGAAATCAAACAAGAGATCTTGGGAAGACATACCAGCACTGCAGGAGGTAGGAGGATCCTTCTGCAGATCCTTGAGCTCCTTCAGGATGCGTTTGGAAGCCATACCTCGAGCGAATCTTCAGATAAACTGATTTTCCACCAAAACAACAGACGAAATCGAAACCCACAGAGCAAGATTCAGAGACAAAAGACGGAAAATTCAGACCAAAAAAAAGAACGACAGATGTGGGAAAGAGGAACTTACCCAGAAGAGACGAGAATCAGAATCACAGAAAGGATGAAACTTTGCGAAGAGAGAATAACAAGAGATGTGAACAAAAAAGGGGGCTTTTTGAGCTCATCGCGATTCATTGGATAAAGAGGAAGGTGGAAGCAGCTTCTAGAATTTTCTAAAAAGAAAAATAAAATAAACACAGCAGCCCGTCTTTTTCATCGTTTATTGTATTATTTAATTAAGGTAAATTTCCATGAAAAATTTATAATTTGCTGTATAAATACTTTAATTTCAAATTGACAAATAAATATTCTAATTTGATTAATTGGTATCAAATATTTGGTAAAAATTGACACTGTAATAAATTAATGCTAATTGCTATTAGTGATTTGATATATCTGATACAAATTGATATATTTATTTAGTAATTCAGAAATTGACGTATTTATAATGGACATTTAAACAAAATTTGATATTTTTATGGAATTCTCCATCTAACCGATTATTCCTTGTTCTCTATATTTATATTTACTTTCATTTTGTGTTACACACTCGTTCTAATCGGAATCCGAACAGAAAATTTAAATTTTCATGGAACTTTGTAGGGAAAATTTAATTCTTTTTTGGGACTCTTTCTTGTATTATTGAGCGATTCTAAATTACAACGTATCACAGCTACAAGAGGGGGCAAAAAAAATGAACAGGAAGAAACAAGAACAAAGATTTGGACCGAATCTGAACTTGGATTCAATGGCAATCCTCGTTACCCTTACCTCTTCTCAAAGATTAGGACATGGCATTTAGGCTTGAGTCCCTGAATCACTTCGTTCTGATTCACATCTTCGCAAGCAATCACAGTTGGTAAATTGATCCTAACGCCCCAGAAATCCAAACCCATTTTCCCGCTCAAGAACACGTCAACAACTGCCTCAAACCTCTTCAGTTTGTCCCTCAAGAGAGTCGCATCCACGTCGTACACGCTCGATTTCCTGACCCTTGTGCTGATCCTCACGGTCCTGACATCGTCCGGATCCTGTCTGAACCCTTGAATCTTGGTATGTCCCAGATCAATGCTCTCTGACGATACGTCGGCTGTCATGGCGCTGTAATACAGCACGGTCTTGTCGTTTTTGTTGGAGAACTGAAGGACTGCGATTGAGTCCGCGTTCAGCACGAGCTCTGCCGATGTTCCGTTGAACTCCATTTTCGGGAACCTGAGGTTTGCGACGTTCACCAGAGGCAATGAGGATTTGACCGAGGAGACCAGGGATACCCCTACGATTAAGAGGATTAGGAGGAAGAGGGAAACTATTAGGCATGTACATGCGCAGCACATGCGGAAACATGGCGGACACCTTCTTCTCCGGGCCCGTTCTTCTTCGTATTCCATGAAGTTATCAGAGCTAGCGCTTTTCACATGGTAGATCTCTACTACTTCCTTCTCCTTCTCCTCCTCCTCCTCCTCCACCTCTGGAACCCTTTCGAGGGCATGTTCCTTTGGAGCGAAATCAGAAAATAGCAATGATGGTGCCTCTCTGATTCCGCCGTTACCCGGGATCCTCCCGGGAGGAGGAGGCAGCTCTGGCATTAGAGCTCTGTTTTGGATTTCATCAAAATCAAGGTTTGTCTCTCAGAAGCTGGATGAAAAGACAAACTTTTGGGGTCACAGATCTTTTGACGGCAGATCAAGGCTGTCGCCAAACAAATAAACTGATGCCCTAATATATTGCTGGTTCTCCTTCAAAATTTAAGAGTCAATCTTAACAACTAAAAATAGCAAATCCAATTGTACGGTTCAGC